CCTCGTCTAATATGACAGCTGAGAGATCGTCTTCTGGGGGAGGGGAAACCTGTTTGTGCAGTTCGCCGATATACACAGTGGTATAGAATAAAACAGGGAACCATGCTAGCGATGAACTACCAGATCATGGCTGTCAGATAAATGAAGCGTTATTCGAGACAAACGCACAAAAATTGGATATAACACTGTAAAGTAGGTCAATAGACATGGACCAATAAAAATATATGCTGCATACGATCTGTCTTATCACTCGGGGTAATCTTGTTAGAGTATTCCATAGATTGTATATTTCATTCTTTAGGCCCTTGGCGCGGGAGCTATGGCCGAGTGAGACAAAACTAAGTAAATAGAGATGACGCACTCGGTTGCAACAAGTATCCTCTCTTTGACGCAAACGGAGGTCAACAAATGTGTGAACATGAGTAACAGAGACGCGATGACTACTAGATCTTGTAGTTGAGCTCGGCCAAGGAAAGGTAACCATTGAGGAAGGTCTATTTCTCCCCTATGACAAGATATGAGTGTTCATAGCCATTAATCTGCCTAATCTAAGCTCACACAAAGAATCCAACTACACTGCCAATGGCCAGCATTCGAGCGGCCCATGCATTACCACTGGGCTTGATCTGATGGGGGTAGGGTGTCAACCAAAGAGCGCGATCCGAGCCCCCACTGCGAATAGATTCTGAGTTTCATCACATGCAATACTCGGGGTTTGTGAAGACAAACCTGCGTTGATGGAAAAATCTATGCAATATATCGATAGGACAGCAAGCCATATGGCAAGTGAATCATGCTGACAAATTCAGTATGGTCTGTCAGTTGTGTTGAAGAGTGCACGCACTGAGGGCGATCCTGGCGTTGTAAACAAACCAGCAAGTGGACGGGCGTATCCGAACAGAAGGGTCGCAACACAACACAATGCTGCACTAACACCGATTAAAGGTCGCCGTCTACCAAAGCGTGACTTTGAATTATCTGCTAGCACGCCTGAAGTCATGTTGAGTGGACTGAAAAGTAGGAAGTACAGGATAGGTACCTATCAAGGGCTGAACAATGAGGCCAGAGAGGGGCCCAGCAAGGAAGACGACTGCCATTAGTTGTTTTGACAGACCGAGGGACAACAGGTAGGGGGAAGCTTGCAGCGCGCAGTAGCAGTAAATAACCATCTAGTGAGGTGTAGGCTAACCATTTACCATATGACATCTCAACCGACCACAAGACCTGCACTCCCAAAAGCCCGACGGTAAGAGCAGGGAGACGTGTCAACGGGGGTCCCAAAATCCTGGCTCTTCCTATCCACCGGGATTCATCATTGAGGGAATCTTCAGCGAAGGATAAAGCAGAAAACCCGGTCATTCTTGCCGAGTGTGCCTAGCCAGTAAACTGTCTGCAGGATTTCGATTAGCTTGTAAATAGTACTTGGAAGTCCAACTATGGTTTTCAACTTATAGCCACCGAGCACTGCCAGCTGGGATTGCCTTTTCGAGATCGAAGACTTCAAATTGTTGCCATCACTAGTGGTCACCGCAGGACATCAATTTGCAGGAGTTAATCTATAGTGCTGAATGCTGACCCGCACACTCCTTCGTTCAAGGATACCTAATCTCAATCGCCTTCTCCATTCATCCTCCCGTATCAGCAGGCAGTTGTTTGACCCATCTACTGTTGAACGTGTCTCGGAGGATGTGGACGTTTGCATCGTCGGAGCTGGCCCTGCTGGTCTTAGTACTGCGATTCGACTAAAGCAGTTGGAACAGAAATTAGGAAAAGAATTAAGGGTCGTTGTACTGGAAAAGGGTGCTGAAGTAGGTGCGTACTCCAAACAGTGAATCTTTCCTGTGTAAATGCAACTCGCCCCAGGCTCCCATACACTCTCCGGAGCTGTCATCGAGCCTCGAGCCCTCGACGAACTCTTGCCAGATTGGGCCCTCCGCGATGATCACCCACTCACGCAGTCAGCAACGTCCTCTCACATGCGGTTCCTCACAAAGTCGCTCTCGATACCTATACCCCATCCCCCTCAAATGGCCAACCAAGGAAATTACATCGTTTCGCTCTCTCGTTTCACTGCGTGGCTCGGGAACATCGCGGAAGAAATGGGTGTCGAGGTTTACCCTGGGTTCGCCGGCGCCGGCGTGGTTTACACAGATGATGGGAGCGTTGCTGGTGTCAGGACGAATGAAGTGGGTCTGGACAGACTAGGGTGCATGAAGGAGTCCTTTGAGCCTGGAATGGAGTTTCGTGCAAAGGTCACCCTTATCGCGGAAGGCGCGCACGGCTCCATCGCCAAGGAACTCATTCAAAAATTTGATCTTCGCCGAAATTCCGATCCACAAACATATGGCATCGGCCTCAAAGAAGTTTGGCGCGTGGATCCAACCCAATATCGACCTGGTGAAGTTGTTCATACCATGGGCTGGCCCCTTGACTTCAGGACATACGGCGGTGGGTGGGTTTATCACATGGCTGATGGGCTCGTCAGCCTAGGCCTTGTAATCGGACTCGACTATGCCAACCCATATCTGAGTCCTTATAAAGAATTTCAGGTGTGTTCTTTTTAGTTGTTGCATACGTTCCTCTGATGTCCCATTCAAGCGCATGAAACACCATCCATATTTCGCAGAGCTCCTGTCTGGGAACTCCACAAGGATAGCATATGGTGGACGTTCGCTCAACGAAGGCGGCCTTCAATCTGTGCCTCAGCTTTACTTCCCCGGCGGTGCCCTGGTTGGTTGCTCGGCTGGTTTCGTCAACATCGCAAAAATTAAAGGCACCCACAATGCGATGAAGAGCGGTATGTTGGCTGCCGAAGCAGCTGCAGCTGCTCTATCTCAGGAGTCTAGCAGTGGACCTGCAGATATGTCACCGTATGAAACTGCACTGAAGAATAGTTGGGTTTGGTCAGACCTTAACGAGGTTCGTAACTTACGTGAAAGTTTTCACACCCCCTTGGGTATTTGGGGAGGTATCATGTACTCTGGCGTCGATTCTCTCCTCCTCAAGGGACGCACTCCTTGGACTTTCCGCAATCGAGCAAGATTGACGGATGCACAGCATACTCAACCCGCGTATCGATTCCACCCTATCAACTACCCTCCTCCGCAGCCCCCGTTGTCGACAGATTTGCTGACTTCGTTGACTTTAACCGGCACGAACCATGCAGAAGACCAACCTGTGCATCTCCGTGTACGCCAGGGCGACAATGAGAACACGGCCCTTCGAAAGTCGCACGTACAGCGCAACGTGAGCGAGTATGCTGGGTTATTGCAACGGGCTTGCCCTGCTGGTGTTTATGAATATGTTGAAGATGAGACCGCAGTAGATGGGTGGAATGGACATAAACTAGTGATAAACTCACAGGTGCATCTCACTCTTGAACCATCTACTACGTCTGACATCGATCGTCGCAGAACTGTATCCACTGCAAGTTATGTGATATTAAGGTCCCCACACAGGATATCACATGGACTGTTCCCGAGGGGGGTGGAGGTCCAAAATACAGTGAGTGTCCTTTGCCGACTATTTTCATTGCGATGGCTTATCTTATTCTCATCATTAAGCTATTACCTGACTGTAAAATAGTGCAGAGTAGCTCTACACAACGTATGTCGTCGGGGCGCATCACATATATTGCATGCCGGGGCACGCTCTCCTCTGACGACATAAGTTTTTCTTCAATCTTCAGATAAAATCTTATCCCACTATATGATGTAGTACAGTAGAATGAATTGATTCATATGACGAGAAACGACGTGCTACGACAGTGTGATATTACTAGTAGTAGGTATCGCGGCAGCGTAAAAGCAGGTGCGGGGCGCGCAGCAGTAGCTTAGGGAACTGCATGAGTAAACCCGCGGGTGTGGGCAGTCGTACCCGCACCCGTACCCGCACTGGCAGTGCGGGTACGGGTTTTACTGCGGGTATCAACACATTGGACCCAGAGTATTACCCCCGACGGGCATACCTATGGGTCACTGTGTGGAAAATAGGAAACAACACGCGCGTGAATCCGTCGACAATAGATGGTGGAAGCTCGGTGCTGAGTGACATGGATGGTGGAGCACGAAAGATGGGGGAACAACTAAGCAGAGAGTCAGAAAGTGATGGCCGTGGCGCCGTCAGCGTCCACTAAGAAGCTCGGAAGACGAGATCACACACCATCTGAGAGCATGACATGGTCAGAGCACTATCAACACCGGGTAAGCAGGTCAAAGGACAAGGACACGCACTTCCTGAGAACGGGACACGACTGCAGCACAATCAGCGTCAGGTAAGCAGGTCAAAAAAATGAGATCACGCACAAGCTGAGAGCAGGACGCGGCCATAGCACCATCAGCGTCGAGTATGCAACGTAGTAAAATATGAGATCACGCACTTGCTGAGAGCGGGATGCAGCCAGAGCACCATCAGCGTGGGGTAAGCAAGTCAAAGGACGAGAACAGAGAGAGTTCCGAATCACCAGTGTGTCATCGTGGTCTTCGAACTTGATGCGTTGCGATTCGTATGCTGCGAGCCGTTCCTGAAGTTGCTGAATTCGAGTTTCGGAGGGAGTGCTGGCACTTGCGCATATACCCACCCTTTGTGCGCATATATCCACCCTATCAAGATATTCTGAGCCTATTAAGCACAAAATATGATACTTACATCATTCTTATGTTGCGGGTAATCTTTTGAATGCTGCAAGAAATCGTTTGAATGATCTAACGAAAGAGACGAAAACAAGATCAGCGTGGGGTAAGCAGGTCAAAAGACGAGAACACGCACATACTGAGAGCAGGACGCAGCCAGAGCTAGTGATGTGCACGGCCCGGCTTCAGGCCGTGGGCCGGCCAAAGCCGAGCCTGATTAGGCCGAGCCGAGCCGGGCCCAAGTCAGGGCCTGACCACGGCCCAGGGCCCGGCTTGAGGTGTTGAAAAGCCTGAGCCGACGGCTCAGGCCGCGGCTTTTTGTCCCTTATCGGCCTCGATATTTCTTCGTTCATTCGCTGACAATCCGGCAGACCACCGAAGACAAGCTCACCTATACTCGTCACGAACCAATTGGTGTCGTCGTAAGTACACGTATATCAGCTCCCAGATCATCCTCTGATGTTCATCTGATAGGGTCAAATCATCCCATGGAATTTCCCATGTGCGTACACATCAGCCGCTTCGAGTGTCATGCCCTCATTCGCTTCGCAGTGCTCATGATGGCATGGAAACTTCACCTTATTAACGAGGCTGGCTTCCCACCCGGGGTGGTTAATGTCATCTCTGGTTACGGAAACACTGTCGGTAATGCCATCTCCTCGCATATGAGGATAGAGAAGGTCGCCTTCACTGGCTCAACCCTTGTTGGTCGCAAGATAATGGAGGCCGCTGTGAAGAGCAACCTCAAGCGCTTCACGGAGAAAACTCGGTACGCGTGCACGTTTATGATACGATATATCCGCTAACGGTGACGTGTTCAGGTGCAAATAAGAGCCTCGCGCGTCAAGGAAAGCGCTTTTAGCAAGGAATGCGAGGTAATTCCATTTCACGCCTAGCCCGCTCGCTCGCTGACAACATCGCCTCTCAACAGCTCTACCAATCGATAGACATCACGCACCCAGTCACAGGTGAACACAACAGCATGCTCATCCTCGCGCACGTCAAGTACTTCCATGTGCGCAAAGACATGCTCACGGGCAGACGCACGATACCAGCATCCATGCCTACACGGTTCATGAATTTCTTTTAGTATCTCACCGTTACACATATGCTTAGATTGAATTTCAGATCATTTTGTTCTTGAAAGCCGTCGTTGAGCCCAAGCCGAGCCGCGGCTTTGGCCTGGCTTGGGCTCACGGCTCGGCCTGAGCTTTTGCAAAGCCCAAGCCCCCCAAAGCCGAGCCTAAGCCGGGGCTTTCAGGCCGAGCCGGGCCCGCACATCACTAGTGAGATCATTTCATTTGCTTGTCACTTCCCATCTCATTGTCTTTCCAGTTTCCTGTTCCTTGTGAACAGTGAACACCTTTGCTCTGACTTGACGCATTTCTTCAATTGTGAGATGTTCTAGATCCCACCCACCTGGGAATCTCTGCTTATACTTGCCTCTTCCTTTTTCAGGGCTTGAAGAAGTGTTTCGGTCGAATAAACCAAGAAGGTTTCTTACCCAATCTTATGTTAGCGTTAGAAGTAGTCTGTTTCGAGTTGTTGATGTTGGTTTCGTTTCTTGGCAATTCAAAATATTTATAATGAACAGACTTTGGTTGGCCTGACCTTTAGGATCCAAAACATAGACAGACGGTTTGCGTTATTTTTTAGGTTACCGTCTGCTTGTACCTGAATTCACTCTGGGGGCCCCTTGCTCGCGCAACGGGGTCCTTGTTTTGCTGGCTAGTACCTCACCGTCTGCGTTCGAACGAGACCCGAGTGAGGCCAATTAGATTTGGCTGCATTGGGAAACGGATGACCGTACACATAAGTCGCTGCGCAGTGGCAGTGCGCACGCATGTACAACTTCAACCAAATATTCAAGTTGTTGGACATGGACGAACCTGAAGTCCTAGAGCAAATTCCACTACCCTCTCGAGACCATACGGCAAGGTTATCATGAGCTTGGTCACCACACTCACATGGTTCTTCGAACTCAACTTGGTGATAGCGCAAGGCTTAATGCCTCCAAGCGAGAGTGTTTGCTGTTTATTAGCATAGTACTAGTAGAACAAATGCAATCACTCTTTGCTATTGCGACGGCTGAGATGCCGATAAATTCAACGAAGCATGCCGATGTGCACTGAGAAGAAGATTAAGCTTTTGTTGCTTTTGCCTGTGAATTCGAGCCCGAGAGCGACCATTATGCACATCATAAATAAGAAATACAAGAACATTGTAGCCAATGATTTGTCAGTCTCGATCCTAGCATTCCGATCAGCATCAGTGGTCGTCCGCGCCCGGCCACCCCCATCTAATGAGCCGAGTCGCTCCGTCATGCCACGACCGTACTCTGCGGCTAGCTAGTGTGGACGTAGTAGAACCACGAGTGCCAACGAAGGTTCCATTCGACTGAATGATAGCGTCGAGGAGCACCGGATGCCTGGTAACAGCCACAACTTTTAGCGTCAGAATGAAAATATCACATCTAATCGGCTCACCATTTTCCATAGATCACCCCCGTCTGCTCCGCTGCATAATCTACCCACATCCACCCCAACGCCTTAACATCTGACTATCACTCCTGGTCCCTTTCGTCGCTCGTCATGGTAGCCTCAATCCCTTTTCGTGTGCGAAGCTCTTCTTGCACCTTAGACACCCTGCGTGCAATGACAGACAACGGGCAAAGCACTGATCCACTGGGAACTCCTCGCATTGCTGGCTGAAGTCACCGTACCGTATGTGGATCGATATATACTAAAGTTAGATCTCTATGCCCAAAACTTTCACTCACGGGAGGAGTTGGCCTGTATGATGGGCGCTTATGTAGTAAAGGAAATCGAAGGATAATAGGTGATCGTCCGGAGGAAGGGAAACTAGTGCTGAGGAGAAGGACGATTCGTTAATGATAATTCCAGGCTTTTCGAGCGAGTTTCTAGAAACCCGAGTGATGCGAGAGACGAAAAGGATGCATGATTGTGGTGTACGCTAGGATATGTCAGCTCGACCCAAGCTGGGGTTCGTGTCCATGAGACATCTGTGATGGCCACGCGTTTAATCACCGAAGAGGGATGTTCGAAGTTGTCTCACCGAGTTTGAGCAGGTTCAGGGGGGAATTCGTCGTGGTGTTTGGTTGGAGTTG